CAAAATTCCCATTATTTTTCGGGTATTAATATAATTGAAAATCTAGTGTTATTTTTTAACCTTAATTATCCAGAATTAAGTTAAAAAGTGCTTTAAATAATTATTATATTGCCCCTAAAAAAAATGAACTTACATTAAATTGCCCTTAAGACTTAAATTGCGAAACCAATAATGAATATTTTATATTCCTGTGACGAAAACGAAAATACATAAAAGGAAGCCTTAAAATTAATGGATAGTATTTTAGAATAATTAAGTTATAAAGAAATAGAAATATTTTTATAGGAAATAAAAAATGATTTTATAGAAAAACTATATGAAATTATACATGATTATAAACACACTGAAATTATAGAAAATCTCTATAAAAATAAAAAAACAGATGATAATATACCTTAATAATAATAAAATTAATAATATAATTGTAATGAATAAGTTTAAATTGCTTTAAGAATTTTAAGTCGATTATCTTTTTTAGGTTATGCTTTAGATAATAATTATAATTAAAGAAATTTCAAAGTATAAAATAGCTATGATAGATATGAAGAATAAAATCGTATTTTCATTTAATTTTTAGACGAGAAAAAAAAGTCGTTTTTTTAAATAGATTACACTTAGGTTATAGAAAATTGCATAGTTATTTTTTAGAGGATATTAACTTCTTTTTTTGCTTAAACTATACATTCAAGTGCTTTAGAAAATGCATTTTCTATAATAAAATTTATTGTTTGGGAATATTTTGATATTGAAGAAGATAATGAATAGATTTGTTAAATAATAATAAATAAATGTTTAATAATATTAATGGATTTAACTTGTATAGACTAAGTAATGGAAATCGAATATGGGTTTTTTATAAGACTTTAAGAGGAAAGTGAGAAATTTTTATTGGCAATTTGTGAAAAAATCCAAGAAAAAAAAATGAAGAAAAAATTAAAATTTTCGTATTTGCAATTTTTAAATGCTTAAAAATTCAAATTTTATTCGACCGAAAAGAAAAGTCTTTAAAAAAAGCTTTTTTTTTAAAAGAATTTTTATGGACAAATTTATACTTGAAAAAAATTCTTCCTTTTTTTATAAATAATAAAATCATTTCAAAGGAAAAAATGGATCGATTTTTAATCTAAAATCTCATAAATAATATCATATAATATTCCATAAATGAACAAGAATATTCATATTAATAATAATAATAAACTAAAGCGAATTCCCAAAATGAATTTTTACAAACTAATGTATGGGAAAACGAATATTTTAAAAGACTATATACATAAAATAATGACAATATATTAAATAGAAGATATGCACTTATTCAATGTTTAGAAGAAAGCTTTGATTTTTGTAATTAGGAGATACTTTTGGAATATATAGTTGATATTTTGTAGTGTATTTTACTGTTTTGAATGAATGTCCAGATTTAATTAATTTAAGTTAAATTGAATAAAGCTGTTAAGCATTAATGAAGAAAACTTTAATATAAATAGTACGAAAAGTGGGTGAAAAAAGCCCAAATTTTAAGTCTGTTTTGGCTGTTCTTTTAGAAATTTATAAACTTATAAGGAGATTTGTCATTAATTTGCAAAAGATGCACTTAAATTGATTTCTTTAAAATATAAAATACCTATTTATAATCTTCTTTTTTTGTAAAAAGCAGACAAAACTTAATAATAATAATAATAATAATAATAATAATAGTAATTTTAATAATAATAATAATAATAATAATATTAATAGCAATAATAATAAATTTAAGAACAAGAAAATACTAATAATAATATAAATAGTATATAAAATATAATTAAAGAATAAAAATATTTTCTTTCAGATATATTAAAGAGTACTTTTGAAATAATTAATTAATTCTCATAAACTTATATAGAAAATAACGAAGGGGATATTACACATAAAATATAGTATACAATAGGAAGATCCAGTGTTTAAAAAACGCTTTAAAAACACTAGAATTCGTTATTAGTTTTGGAGAAAAAATACCGTTTGTTTTAGTTTAAGAAAATAGATAATATAGTACAGAAATAGGGTTTGTAGTAAAAAAAATATACGAAATAATGAAAAAAAATAACGAAGATAGTAATATATGTAAGGTAATTTTAGAAATAAATTTCCAAGAATAAAAGGAGTTTTTAATTAATTAATTTTTAACTTTTTATTACAATGATGAAGGTATAAAAATGGATATAGAGGATTTTAATTACAATATAAAAAACTGGGCAGAGTGTATAAGTGCGGGAATAAATTTAGTGCATTAAAATAGTACTTTTGGAAACTAAGAAACTAAGCGAAGAAAACAAATAAGAGGCGTTATTTTAAATCTTCGGAATGGCCTTAAGGGTTGAAAAAACTATCCAAAAATCAGCCTGTATATGCCTTGATAATATAAATAAAAAAAGACAATAGGAAATAATACACGAAGATTTAATTAAAAAATTAATAAATCCGCTTTTTTATTGCTTTTAGAATTGTCCATTTAAATTTTAAACTCCATAATTTTTTATAGTCTCTAAAAAAATAATTAAGACTTTTTCACATTGCTTTAAAGTGGAACTAACGGAACATTTATACGCTTATTTATAGAAATTTGTAAAAGAAGATAATCCATAAATTTAGAATGTTTTCGGTTATTTAGCACTCTTTAAACATCTTAAAAATATTTATTTTATTTAAGAAGAAGATAGTAGTATTAATTAATTGAAGTTAATTATAAGATGTAGTATTTTGCTTATGTAGAAGTTTATTAATAAGCTATAAAATAAAAAAATATAAAAATTAATACTTAAACCTTTAATTTAATTTGTTAATGCTATGTAACATTATACAAGTAAAGTAATTTTCTCATAACCAGATAATATTTAAGATTACTAACTTTTACATATTATATATACTATAATTAAAAAATCTGAAGTAAATTACATATATATTATTAATTATTTTTATAATAAAATTAGAGTTATGAATTAAGATAATAAATAAGTTAAGAATTCTAAAGCAAAGACTTTATATAAAGAATATTAGAAAATATAAATTACTAAAATGAGCTTATATTAATAAAAATTATAAATTTAATATCTTAAAAAAACTGTAGATTTTTCATTAAAACTGGTAAAAAAGGTTTTGATTTAATACTTATAAAATTTAAATAATATATTATGGCATATTAATAATAATAATAATAATAATAATAATAATAATAATAATAATAATATTTATAATAATAATAATTATAATAAAATTTAATCAATGAAAAATATTTTAACTAAGAAAATAAAAAGATAAATTTACTTTGGAATATAATAAAAACATATATATTAAGAAATAAAAACGATATAAAGAAAATTGGGAAAATAAAAATTTACAGTCTTTATATTTATAACTAAAAAGTAAACGGAAATATAAACAGTGCAAATTTTATTAAATAAATAAACAATTTTTTTACTTTTGAATTGAACTAATAACTATCTGGTGATTAAAAATATAATATATTAGTATATTATTCAAAAAAATATTTATAATAAAAACAATAATAAAAATATTATCTAGTTTAAGATGTTTAGAATAAAAAAAAGCTTTTTTTATAAAATATACTGTGTCCAATTTATATTTAAAATTGTAAAAATTTACATAAAGCAATTATTTATAATTAAAATGAAATTCTTAAAATTATTATTTAATTAATTTAAGAAATAGAGAATATTTAAACTTTATTAAATAACCGAAAATTAATATGTATAAAGCATTTATAAATATAATGTATTTAATACCTTTATGATACATTCAGGTTAATTTATTTGGTAATAAGATATTTATTTCCAATATAAAATAATACTGAAAATACGGAAAAACTTAACATCCTTCAAAACATAATCTAAAAATGTCAATTTTGGAGCGAAAACGCATAAATTCTAATCTGGAGAAATCACTTCTTATAGCTTTTTGTAAAGTTTAATATACTTAACTTTAATGAATTCGAATAAATAGAAAAAACAAGTAAATATATCTTCCAATAATACACGGATTATTAAAAAGAATACAGCTAAACCATAAGTAGTGAAATATAATAATATCTATAATAAAACCTAAAATTAGTTTTAAATAGCTCACAACAATAAGATTTATTATCCTAAACTATATAATGTTTTATAGATTAATTTGAAATTCTTGAATTTGAGTTTTTTGTATAATTTTTATTAAAAAACAACAAATATTTACGCCATGAAATTTTATAAAATTACTTAATGTAATTATTAACGAGAATGCTGTAAAACAAAAGCCTTTAAAATTATAATAATACCCTTTAAATTTCAAACGAAATCCTTTCTGAGCTATCAACTTTACTCCTATGGTGGAAAAACACCAAAGAAAATTCCAATAACGTTAATTTCTACTCACTTATAGTTAAATTTTATGCGAAACAGCTCTTACACAATAATAATTATAAATTACTCTTTTATATTAAAAAAGCATTTTTTTTATGCCCTTAATTATCATTTTCTTTCTAAGAAGTATACGAATTATATATTAAATTTCCTACAAATTAGGCCAGTAGGAATAGCTTAATTACAAATACATTATGTTTATTGAATATGATGTTAGAGTTTTTGAATAATGATTCCATACACTAAGAAATGGAGACTATTTTTAAAATACTCTAATATAAAGACTAAACTTAGTTAGTAGGAAGTACTACAAATACTAATTCTACTTCTTCTTAAAATATGAGTATTTTATTTTGCGCAAAAGACCTTTAATTAAACTTATGTATTAATATAATTGCTAAACTTCTTGATATTGCTTTCAACGACTAATAAGCTATAATGTGCAAGAACTTAATTTAAAACTGCGAAAAAATGTGGCTCGATAACTACTATATATACAAGGAACTACACGAGAAGTAAAAGCAACAACAAAAGGAAAAAGACATTGTCGAAAAATAGAAGATATACTAAGAAATAAACCGACTTTAAGAAACCTTATAAATATCCATACATGCCTGTATTCGAATGTTAGGTATAATAATATTAGTCTACGACGAGAAATTTGATGTGGAAATAAAAAGCGTTTCAAATCTAATAAATATTTTTTTTTCGAAAATAATAGACATCCGTCCTTATTTAATGAACGCGTTTTAATAAACACTTTTTTACGATTGTCTTTTCTAAAAAAGATACTCATAATATCTCCCATATCATTCTTGTATATATAAAATTCCATTATAAGACAGTATTTAAGAAAACACTTAATTTAACGATTTAGACGATATTTCTATTTAAGAAAAAATTAATGACTTTGACAATAAATCATCTAGAGAAATCGAAATAGAAAAGCGTTTTATTATAAATAAAGAAAAAATAAAACTTAATCTCTTCCATGATACTTTTGAGCCTTTAGAATTCTTCCCGCACGCCTTTATTTATAACGAAGATATTTTTTATTACTACCATATAATTCCTGATTTCTAATACTAATAATAAATTCCAGTTTAACTCCTATAGTAAATAAGTTCGAACTAGAATTATTTACAAAACATAAGTATATTAGCCAATATTTACTCAGTAAAAATATCTTCTCTATCCTCCTAAATATAAATCCAAGAAGACACAAAAGAAATAAAAGAATTCCTCGAACAACTACTCAAAATAGTTTAATTTAAGCTTTCTTATCAACTAAGAATAGACGCTCTAAACATACTCCGAGCCTTAATTTTAGGAAAAGAATCATTCGATGACTTTCTACCCCCTTTATGTGAGAAAATCAAAAAAATAAACCTCAAAAAGGAATTTCTACTCGAAATATTCTTTAATATAGACCATATTGAACAAATGACACAAAAGCTGCCACGATATTGTTCTTTTTCTTACCAAAATATGATTTCTGCATCTTTCTGTTATCGCCTTAGTGAAGAAAATATCACTTATCACTACTTTAAATTTCTTCTTAATATATTAAAAATATGTAAAAATACGAAATTAGTTCACCTATAGCCTCATTAGATAAGAAAATTGGCCATTTTATTATCCAAAACAAGTCATAATCATGAACTTTTCCTTTATTTTTATGAATATTTAATGTAAAATGACAATTTGGATTCAGAATTTAACATTTTTTCCTTTACTTTTGGAACTGAAAAATACACTCAGTAATAAAATTTAAACTTAAACTAAAAATAATAATAATAGTAATAATAGTAAATACTCTCCAATAATAACGATGAAGTGTATTTGTTTTCTTTCAAATTCCTTTTACATTAAATATACTCGTAAGCCTCAACAATCCAATTATCCTATAAAAGCAATTAAAATAAAAAAGACTGTATTTTTCTGTATGAAATCTTCCAAAATCTAATCATAAGTGGACAACTTAAGCCTTCCTTATTAAACTACATCCCAAAATCTAACGAGGAATAAGAATATCATCAAATTTTACTAAACGAGACATCTACAAGTGCTTTAATACCATTAAATAATAGCCTCTTATAACCAAATATGTTAAAAATTCTAACTTTTTTTTTCCGAAAAACTCAAAATAAGACTATTTTAGGATTAACACTAGAGAAATTTTTATGCGACTAAATCACCTCTTTTTAGTCCCCTTAAATAATAGTTTCCCAGAATCTTTCCCATGTATTACTCTAGTCACTTTTCGAGATAAAATATCCTTTACATCCTGAAAAAATCTATGCACTTTCCTAAATTCCTTCCCTATTTGACATTTCTCTTCTTTTTTTAGAAACCCACTTATAAAACACAACTACTAATATTAATAATAATATTTTCGAAGAAGACATAATGAATAAAATACAGCAAATAATGTACAATATTTAAGATAAAGACTATTATTTTGCCTGTTTATAGGCCTAAACTTCTTCAAAAATACTCAAATAGAGTATACATAATGTCTAATAAAGCCAATTTTTGAGAGCCTAGGAACTCCTTTTATCTAACTAAGAATTTATTACAAAAATAACGAACCCTAATGACGAAAATAGTGCCTAAAATAACTTTTTTTAGCCTTTTACAGACGATTATTTGCGTGTACATGAGTTCTGTACTTTCCAAGAATTACTAATTGAATGTTAAAAAAATTTAAACTAATGGGATGCTTTATAATAACACGGAAAACAGACTATAAATACCTAAATAATAATTGATTCATTATATTAATGGCTAAATCTGAAGTATCTTCCTTATCATTTGCAAAAAATATTCATTTAAGACAATTAAAACTCAATAAATCTTGAAAAAAACCCTTTTCCATATAACCTAATGTATTCTCATGCTGAGGCATTGGTTCTTTTTAACACTTTTTCAAATGAAAAATAAATTCAAAACTTCGAATAGATAAAAAACAAGGCTTATTAAAAAATACTTTCTTACTGGAACAAATTACCTAAGTGTATAACTAGATAACATGTTTAAATAATTTACAAAATTTAACTTTGGACAGAATTAGAGTAAGCTTTTGCCTTAAAAATTAAGCATTTGAAAGATTTTGATAATGAAAATTAAAAAATTAATGTCTTTAATGAATCAGTTATTACTTTTAGTAATTGGAGGGAAACTATACCTTCTAAATAGGAAGAATTCCCAGTACATAAAATACTTTTGGAGTAAAGACTACATATTTTTAATGCTTTTTTTAATCTTTTTAAAAATTAATATTAATTATAATAAGATAAAATATCTTATTTAACTTAATTTTTAGATGTAAATTGGACTAATGTATGGTTATCTACTATTTAATTGGTATACATATTATATTATATTACTTTAGGCATGGTTTTTTTTTATTATTTTCTGTAAGTTTTTTTTATTATTTTTGAAAAATATGGGTTATATATTGTGCCTTTTATTTTTTTTCATTTAGTTTTTTTTTTTAAAAAAAAAAATTCCAGAAAATTAAATAAAAAACATGCCAAAACAAAAAGTAATATGTTTATATATATATAAAAATTATATATTTTAAGAATAACGATTCAATAACATATCAATAAACTAAAGATATAGAAGAATTTTAAATAGTCGAAGATGCCTATTATAAAACAAAGTATTTAATAAACTTAAATTTAAAAAACAACGAATAAATATTCGATTAAAGATAAAGTTATGAAGAATTCCTCCATAACTCATTGTAAAAATTTAATTAATTAAGATAAAAAGCGGATTAAAATAATCTTTTAACTTTCTATGATTCATTTTTAGCAGCTAATCTATATAGAAAATTGACTTTATTATCATTTTAAAAAAGTAAATAGAAAACATATATATATATATATATATATATATATATATATATATATATATATATATTATATAGAAAAATATCTTGATGTCATAACTAACATAGAAAAAACATTTTAAGAACTACAAAATGCAAATTAAATTGCTTTGTATAAATCTTGTTATACTTTTTCAGAAATATGCTTCTAAATGTTACTTGATAATCTCCCACATCCTCATCGTATTCCCTTCACTTAATTAGTTATTACTTTTCTTCCAATTTCACTGAAATATACTCCTTACAAAACACGCTTAAGCCTCTTTATTTTATTTTATTTAGTTGAAAATCTTTAAACCTTATTTTCCTCTAACACCTAAGAACTCGAATAAATATAAAAAGAGTTAAATTAATGTATTTAATACATCCCTACAAGTACTTTAATAATATGGATTCCTTAATTAATCCAATATTTGAAAGAATACAATATTCAATCACCCCAAAATACCCAAAATAGTTTCGCTTTAAATTTCTTTTTCAAACTCTACTCTTAAATATAAAAAGAGTTTGACCAATGTCTCTACTATTATATATCTCCTTTCGAAAAAGAGCTAAAAAGTGAAAAAAAGCATTCCACATTTTCCAAAATCGACCTTCTTTTGAAGACCATAAACCAGCCAATAGAGCCTGAATAAGAAATTGAATAAATCTACTTACAACTATAAAGCATAATAACTGAATATAAAACCCAATCTACATCCATATACACTAAATATCAAATATAAAAAAAAGCCATAGATATTTTAATAAAAATGCAAACTAATAGATACTCAAGTTCATTAAATTAAATAACATAAATTTTAAAAGATGTTCAAAAAAATAATCTAAATGTTTAATCTTTTTTCCTTTTATTAGAAAATAATATACTTGAATTAACTAAAAATATCTATTTTATTCAAAATAATAATTCTTTGGAATATAATACTCATTAGTTAGCTAATTTCTAGTTAAATTGTAAAGATATAGAAATTCCAGGGTAATATATAACTACTAATAAGATTGTTTTTTAAGATTTTTAGCCTTATAATCATGTATATATTACTTCATTACATAAAAAAATATAAACAATAATATATAATAATTAAAAATATTACAAAATAATACTAGATGGGACAGATTAAAAATAGTAAAATAATTAAAAGAATATATATACATACTATATATAAATATTTATATATATATATATATAGATATGTTTATACAATATTTTAAATGACAAATATGAATTATTCCCTAAATTAATTAATCAATCAACTTTCTGAAATTTTTAATATTAAATTTTCCTTATTTGACTAAACATAATAAAGATCATTAGAAATTTAAACTAAAAATTATATTAATATTCCAAGCAAGGCCAATTATTAAATAATAATGCATTCTTTTTGCCTTTCGACTTAATCTTTATTAAATATATACGAAAAATATCAATTTTAAATTAATAAATATCCACATAATATACTTTCTGATTATATATTAGAAACCACACCAACATATCTATAATATATAATCTTAAGAAAATAAATAACATATAATTATTCTTCTGCTATGTTTATGAGTTATTTATTATCTACGAGTCCTTTATTAAAAGACATTTCGTTTAATCTTAGCAAAGGAAAAGTTTACGTATTTTATAATATAGAAAATACACTAGAGCATAAAATTATTGAAAAAAACCCCAATTCAATAAGATTATCACCTAATATAACTAATTATATTACTTAATTAGGAATTTAAGGTCTATTAGGATCTTCAATAATATCAATGGCAAGGGCTTTATCATATGATAAGTATTTATTTATATATATATATATATATATATATATATACCTATATTAATATATTAAATAGATTTATAATAAAATTATATTTATATAAATTTTGTAAAATTTTTGGTAATAATAATAATGAGAATTTATCATATTTCGAGTTTTATAATGAAAAGAATATTATGTAGAAAATTTATTATTTATTTAGTGAAGATGAGTGTAATTTTAAAATTGGAAAAAACAAAATTTCGGCTAGAATTGATAGCATTTTAAATGTCATTTAATAAAATTAAAAGAAAAATATGAAAAATTAATAAATGATGTATTGGTTTTGAGACTTTTTTTTTTAATTTTATTTAATCATTATTATTAAAATTATTATATATAAATATATATTATTATAGTTTATTTCAATTTATTTTTATCTTTTTATCATACTATATATATATATGTATATTATAAAAATAAAATATATATATTAATTATGTATATATATAAAATATTATTATATTAATAATTTAATTTAATAATTTTTTTTTTTAATTGTAAAATAAATTGCATATATTTAATTTAGAAATAATACCTGTATAAAATTTAATTAAAAATCAATACATACATACTTTATTTTTAATTAATTATTATTTTTAATTTTTTACTTAAAAACAACACTATTATTTTATTTAAAAAAAAAACTAATTTAATATCAAAAAAATTAATATACAAATTTAGACTAACAGTTACGATTTTTAATAATATAAACTTTATAAAAAACAAATAAAAACTAATAATCTAGTAATAATAAGAATATAAGATTAAAAAGACACTAATAACATATAAATAACTATTAAAATATATAGAAAAAAATAAAATTTTCATATTAAAATTATTACCAAAACTAAATAAATTATTTATTTTTAAAAAATATAAATTGACATTAATAATTCATAAAAAACATAATCATAAAATTAAACATAAATGTTTGTTATTTTTATAATCTTTTTCAAGAAAAAAATTCTTTGAGAAAAGAATAATATAATACATATTATATATATCATATAGAATTAAAAAATAAAATAATAATACATTTTATTAATAATATATATATATATATATATATATATTATATATATATATTATATTTATATGATGATAATAAAAATATAAAATAACTAGACGCAAAACATATATAAGTATACATATTTTAACTAAAAAAGAGAAAGAAGAAAAATTGCTAATATTCCTTGAAAAAAAAAATTATTTAATTTGAAAGCAAGGAACGATTAATATTTAATCAATAATTCAAATATTTATGTCAAATTTTTATTTTAGAATCAACTTATTGGATTAAACTGAATTCTTTTTAAATAATTGAAAATCAAGAAAAATTATAATCAGCCTGAATAAAACAATAACATGGAATATTTAATAGAAATAAAATAGCTAGAACTTAGTTATATTCAATAATACTTCATTAATTACTTTAGTAAAATTCCGATTATTTTTAACAATTGAAATATATATAAATTAAGGAGATATAATTTGTTATTTTTATTTTAAAATTTCACAAAATTTTTAAAATTATTTTAAAAAATTAACTTTGTATATACAATATGTTTATATTAAATGGAAAACATAATATCTTATATAAGAAATAAAAAATAATGTTTATATTAAAATTATTGAGAGAGAAATACTTATATAACATATATTATATTATAAATATTTTATTTATATATTAATTAAGAAAAACAGATACTAATATATATATATAATAATTAAACTATTTTTAATATATTAATATAAATAAATTAGATGAAATTATATATAAAAAAATAAATAAATAAGATTAATTAAAAAATCTATTGTATTATTTATATTTTTAGAAAGCAAATTTATATTTGATATTGTAATAAGACTTTAAAAGAAAAAATACAAATGAAATTTTAAATACATTATAACAAAATTAATTATATCATACATATTTAAAATTAAATAATAATCTTTTAAAAAAAATAAACTGGAAAATATATTCTTATCATATAAATAAACTTAATCAATTAACAAATTTAATCCGTTGAAAGCTTTCTTTAAGATAACTTACAAATTATATGATTTTGTTAATTTATAATGAAAATAATTCAAATAAATAAAATTATTATTATCATTAATTTACAAGAAAAAGATCAATAATATAATTCAGAAATATAAAATATTATTGATATATGAATTTGCTGATTTTTAAATACTGAATTTATTACTATTTTAACAAGAAGTACTAACTTAATAAAATATTGTGATAATAAATTATTTTTTTAAAAAAATGAACCAATTTATTTAAAAACCGTTACATTATACTAATTTTGTAAAAAGATTAATAATGAATTTTTTTTAAATATTCTAATATTTTTCATTTATTGAGCAATTTTAACCAGCAATAGAGAAAAAAAAAGAAAAAAAAGAAAAAAAACATTAATTTAATATACACAAAAATTATAAATTTAATAAAAATAATAAAGAAACTAATTTTAATCAATTTAACTTAATAATTATTAAAAAACTATAATTTTAAAATTAATAATAAACGAAAATTAATATAAAAAGAAGTTATCCAAAATAATAATTAAATTGAAAATAATATATATTATTTTTTTATCTAAACGACAAGAAGTAATCATTAAATACAAAATAAAAATAAAATTTACTAATATTAATTTATTTCAAAATAAACTCAAATAAAACTCCTTTTAAATATATAAACTGAAAATAAAAATTACAAACGAAATTCAATATAAACTTTATATTTTTAAGATTATTTAAATTCTTTTCGAATCAATCAATTTTTTCCTAATAATACAGATTAAAACAAACAAAAACAAACAAAAAAAGCAAAATTCATAAAAACAAAACCATATACAAAACAAAAAAACCTTTAAAAAAATAAACAAATAAAACTCCAAACCCTTCCTAATCTTACAATTACTTAGAACTAAAAATAAACCTATCAGTTTTGACTTTCTTGTGCTTCATAAACTTAATAGGATCAGTTCCAAAAGCAATACTAATATCGATAGTCATTTATTCAGTAAAAGAAATATTACAAGGTCCACCATCAAATGGTTTTGAAAAAGTTACCCACATACTCCCTGAATTAGGTTCATACATAGCCACATTCTAAGTTAGGCTTTTACTTTTATCACACTAAGGAAATGTATAATCATATTAAGGTGCTTCTTCATATACTGAATACATGTCTTCTAATACAGTATTTAATGTCTAATCTGCTCTTATAGCTACTATATCTACTCCTCTCATTCCTTTTCCAAAAGCTATACCAATCCAAACATCTGAATATCCTCGAATATCGAAATTGACTATTTTTTTGTCTAAATCATAGAAGTATTCGATTTTAAATCCTTCAATAATAATTAAGTTTCTATTTATTTTATTTTAGGTTATTGTATTTTTTATTATTAGCAGTATTATTGTGAAATATTTTAGATTTATTATCATTCTTTTATTTTAAGTTTTTTTTTTTGTTAAAAATATTTTTTGTTATTTTTATGAAATCAATTTATATATTTTGCTTAATTTTTTTGCTTAAATTAATTTTTTTTATTAAATAAAAATATTTATTTATTAAAATTTTAAAAAAAAATTAGTATTTTTTTATTAAATAAAGATTCCATAAAAAAAAAACAAAACAAAATAAAATAAAAAAACATATGTATATCTTACCGTTTTGTTTTGAAAATTAAATAATATTTAAAAGCTATAATTAAAATTAACTTAATTAACAATAAATCAAGTAAAATATCTTTTATTAAATTAAATAGATAAACAATAGATAATAAATATGAAAATAAAAAAAAAGCTTATATGAAAAAAATAATAATACTATAAATACATAAAATAATTATTATAACACAATATATATATTAGTAATTAATATTTTAACTGAAGTTTAATATATGAGTAAATAACACATTAATTAAAATCAAGAAAACCCAATAATGTTTGATTTTTAAATATTTTAAATCGATAAAAGTCTATCAATTCTACTTTTAAAAAGCACAACAATTTTATTTTTAAAAATTAAACATTGCTAACAATTTCCTAATAATTATTTAATATCCTCACTAATAAAAATCTCTCTCCAACAAATCATATTATCATTTTCATTATTTAAATCTAAAAACCATTTATCACTAGTATTACTTTACAAGCCTAAAGCAAAATCTATTAATAAATCCCACCCTCTAATATCAATTTTACATATTTTATTTTGACATTAATTAAGATGTTATACCCAATGTTTGCCTTTTAATAATATATAAATAAATAAAAAATAGTATAAATATATATATACCTATTTCTCTAACTATATTTAAATTATCCTACAAAAAGCAATCGTTATACAACTTAACTTTAAAATTATTATTATTAATATTATTTTAAACTAATTAACCCATCATCTAATTAAGTGCCATATAGCTTAAATCGTTTTATTTTTCTTATTCATCGTCACTTTATTCATCAATAAACTCTTATTCCAAAATCAATAAATAATTAATTCTTTATTTAAACTAATTAATAATTCCCATCAAACACTGAGAACAAATAATACATTTTTAAATATTTTATTACATAATCTAGTTTTCTAAAGAATTGACCCACCCAATAATTCCATAATGCTTAAATTAACCTTTTCCTTTAAGTCTGCTAAATTAATCATCACATTAGGTAGATTTACTTAAGCTATTTATGAAATTCTCAAGTTTTTTCCATCCCATTCCAGGAAAAGGAATTTGATTATTTTTACAAAAGTCAAGTTAAAAATGGGCTTCCCAAGTAAAAGATAATTACCTTATTTATTTCATATTAGTATAAGGGTTAAAGTTTTCTTTAAAATGGAAAAAAACTGAAGAATAGTTTATTTGGTTTGACTAATTCTTATGAAAACTCTAAAAATGTTATAGCATATTTTATTTACTTATTTTCTTTTTACAATTCAAAGGACATGTAATTTCCGCAAATTCACAATTTATATTCTCGTGTTACATCAAGTCTTCATAATTTAATTCTTGTTTACATCCTTTTTCTCTATTCTGACATGAAAATATTAATTTTCTTAATAAACTTTTTAATAGTAAACTACTTTCTTATTATTTCCATTATGAACGACAGTTTGGACATTTTTTGTTTGAGTTTGGTGTCTCTAGCCATTACTATATACACTTCCAGCAAAAGTGACTTTAGCATTCCCTACATAATATAGGAGATTATAATATTTGGTCACATATTTTACATTTTAATTCATCTATTATTATTTCTGTTTAGGTATAATTTACTATTCGATTTGTATCGTAACACATTTTTTTTAATTTATATTGTATTATATTATATATTTTGTTTTGTTTTTAGTATTTATTTTTTATTTTATTTTATTTTTTAAAAAAGGAAATATATTAAATTAAATTATAATTTTACTGATTTTTAAAAAAAATCTTTATTTTTTTAAATAAAAGTATATATAGAATTATTAAGATAAAATAAAAATATAATGAAAAAATAAAATTGTTTTTTTGTCTTTCAATTTATATCATTATTTTCTTCTTTTTTTTTTTTTTTTTAAAAAAAAAAAATTATAAATTTTATATAAAAAATTTAATTTTAATAATATAGATAAAAAAAAATTTACTTTTTTATTCAATTTTTTCTTTTAAATAATTTTAAAGTTATTAAATTTCTAATTTATAATTATTTTAAATACTTTTAAGGTCTTCTATTTATTAATAAAGTACATTTATTTATTATTTTTATGTTTGGACTTTATTAATTAATTAATTGCATTAATCTTATTCGATATTTTCATTATTTTATTATTAAATGATTTTTTATAAACATTCATTTTGTTTTTGGATTTCACTTTTTTAAATTTATAATTTACCTATTTATTCTTTCAAATCATTAATATTTTCTTAATTATTATTTTTCATATTTAACTATTCATTTAAAGTTTTATTTTCATTTGTTAACTATAAGCAATTTGCCTATATATTATCTAATTATTCTTTTAGATTTTAAATTTCATCTTTATTTTCTTATTATTTACTTTCAATTAATTAATTATCTTCTTTATCTATATTTTCACTTGAATCTTCTATATTTTTTTGCTATTTTTTAATTTCCTTCAATTTATTGCATTCTTGGGTTAATTAAGCAACTTAAGATTCACTTTAATTTAAAAGTAATTATAGTTTTTAATTTTCTTCAAGTAAAATTTGAATTTTCTCTTCAATTTTAATATATTGATCATGATTAATGATAGTTTTTTTAATTTCATTCAATTAAAATTTTAAATTATCATTTTCAATTATGACAAATTTCATTTTTTATTCTAATTATTGAACATAATTTTATTCTTGCTTTATTTTATTATTTTAAAAAATAAAATAAATAATTATAAAAAAAATAAAAAAATAAAATAATAATAAATACTTCGTATTTATCCTTATATTATTCTGAATCATGTCTTGTTTTTTATATATTTAATTATTTCAATGTAGTTTAACTATCATAATTATTAATTATAGATTATTATTTTTATTTTGGAATTATTATTGTACTGCTTTTATTAAAATTTTAACAATAATTTTTCACTCCATTATGTTATTAAATCATCTTATTTTGTTAAGAAATTTACGATTATTAATTTATTGCATAACCCTATTATATATAAAAGTTCATTTTATTTTAGTTAATTTTTAATACTTATTTAATAATAAAAATTTTATCCTTAATAAAATAAATAAATTAGATATATAGAAACATATATTTAGACACATTAATATATTAATAATAAAAAAAAAGATTAAAATAAAAAAAGTGATAAAATTAAACAAAAAATAATAAATAAAAAAAAAAACTCTTTTTAAAATAAGATAAAATAATGTCAAATAGTGATATTTCTGATATGCCCGAGGCTATATCTTTTAAAGCAGCTGAAAAAAATATAAAATAAAAAGCTAAAGATTTAAGAATATCAGTAAAATAAATGAAAACAAAAAAATTAAAAAACAAACGAAAATAAAATTGATTAAGATTTACTTAATATTATTAATGATGAATTACCTGAAAAAAAAATAAAACAAATTTCTTAAAAATTTAAAGTTTCAGAAAATTACAATAAAAAATAATAATAACCAAAAAAAGAAATTATTTAATAAAAAATTATATTTGCATAAAAAAATGTATAATCTAAAAATATTTCTATTATATTTTAGTAAGATACCCCTTAAATTTAACCTGTAAATATGAATGCAATAAATTTTTTATAAAACAGAATTAATTAATCAAATAGTAAAAGATAACCCATTTAAATAATTAGAAAATGAGATTAAATTTATACAGAAATAATAGATAGAAATTTATTTATAAATCAAATTAAAGAATAATATTATATAAATATATTTTATTACCAATTTTTTATATTTAATTAATAAAAACATTAATAACAAAAAAATAAAAATACAAACATGATAAGAATATTTATTTATTTATTTAAGAAACAAAATATAATTTTTTTTTAACAAAAATATATTAATTAATATTAGAAATATTAAAAAATTTTATTTTAAATAAAAATTAAAGATTATTTTAATAATAATTATAAATTATTAATTAAATAATTAAATTAAAAAAATAAATTAATTATATAAAAAATAAAAAATTGGATATTATAGATTCTTTTTTTAAGTAAAAAAATAAATATAATCATAATTTTTTACAATGTCAATAAAGATATAGTTTTAATGATTTTTTTCAAATTACATTTATTTTTATATCAAATTAAATTTAGTGATAAGCTAAAAAATAAAAAAAAAATTGAGTAAAAATAATATATAAATTTTATTAAACTTATATTATTTTAGTAAATTAAAGAAATATAAAATAATATATTATTGATTATAGAT